GCGTATCGGTTAGACTGATTTTTAAAAAATCGGTATCGGTATCGGCCTTCAAAAACCTGTATCGGTCGATCTCTAATTTCCAGTGCACTCACATCAGAATAACTTATAGATTTGTTGTTAGAATAATCGATTAATCGAAAAAATAATCGTTAGATTAATCGATTAGAAAACAATCGTTTGGTACAGCACTAAATCAAACTTTGTTTTAACATCTAACTGGACCTTTAGAGCCAGCTGGCTTTTAGAAGAAATGCTTGAATGTTTTTAAGATCAAACCTCTGAATATTTATCTATCTTTTTTTAAAGTCCAAAGTAGTAAAAAATGTCTGGAATTCTTTGTGGCACCGCAAAAAGGTCCTCCAGTATATGTTTTTCTTCTTCAGTCTTCCACATGTTGTCCTCAGTGGGACCCATGCAAGAGACCCAGTATGCAAACATAGCTGAAATAGTTCATGATGAACTTTCCCACAACATTTTCTCTTTAATTTACTCGAGTTTTTTCAGATACCCCAACCCTGCCTCTTGGTTCTGTTACTGGAAGTATACATAGAGCATGAGCAGGAGTCACACTTTGAACTCTATATTTTACATAAACTTTTTCCACAGCCTATAGGTCTCCATTCAAATGACAAAAAGGTTAAAGGTATTGTTCTAAAACAGTGTATTTGTTTTTCTTGATACAATCTGTGGATAAAATGGCTTCAAACCACTGTTAAATGCCAACTATATCCAAAGACTGACCTTTGTAGCCTTTAACATTTTTATAATGGGTAGTGTATAGTGGTCTGTACCCTGCTCTTCCTGTCACATGAAGTGTACTGCACCTTCTGTGGCGTCAGAAACCAACAATCCAACAAAGAAGGCAAAGAGTTCAGATTTATTATTCTTGTATACTCAGGCAGTGCAGTTAAAATAATCAGACTCCAACTAAAGGAAAGAACAAAACATTCTGAGTGAGCTGTGGCCTAAAACTAAAACTACAGATGCAGGACAGATTCAGTGTCATGGAGCCAGGACATGTGCCACGTTCCCAAACAACCCTGATATCTATTTATAAAATAAAAATCATCATAAACCATATGAATTCAGACAAAACAAACCGGCTCCAAAAACAGCTATTCCACATATGTTTTATAGTTTGTGTATTTGTGAGTTATTTACTTTTTAATTTTACTAGAATCTCTAAATCTAACTGAAATCCTATTATAAAGCAGTGATTCAGATAAAAACCAACCTGGGACAGTGGTCTGGACAGCTGGTTGCTCTTTTCCTCTGGTGACCATGAGCGCTGCTGGACACTAACACAAGGGCAAAAAAAGGCAATGAGGAATATTTCACAGGAACTTTGACATAAAACAAACAACTTGTTAAAGACTGACTTTTCCATGTAACACAATGGAAATGACGTTTTAGTCTGCACATTTAAAAAAAGTATATTTTTTAGTACAAAAGTCATAACTATAGAAAAATGACACAAATCCAACAGATAAATAGATTCAATGAGTGTCACATTGCTTTATACTATGTTGATTATCCTAATAGTCTAAACAAGATGACTGGACTTCTTCTATTGCTGAAGATGTTTTGTCTCTTAGAGGAGCTTCATCTTTTCAAACTGAAGGAAAGAAAGCTTTATAACAATCTCAATACCTTGTATAAAAGCTTGAACCTCTGCACCAGTTTGAACTGATTAAGCTCTTTGGAGTAAAGTATCTTTAGCAGCAACATAAAAAGAGTCCAGTTGTTAGGATTTGTCCCAGATGACCCAGATGTCATTTTAGTAGTTTCTAATTTAACTGATTAAAAACAAAACACAAAATGACTAAAAGTGCTGGAGCTGAATTCCTCATAAATTCAGAGCAGGCAAACTTAGTGTTTCACTTACAAACCAAATAAAAACTAAAAAAAACTATAAGAGCAGCCAGGAGAGCAAACAAATGGCCATGCACAGATAAACCACGGTGAATGTCCTACATTCTGCCTTTTGTTAAAATGAATGCAAACAGAGGAATGTGATATCCTGTGCATATCTTTTGTTACAACAGTACAACCCCATGGCTCTACTTTATGTCGGTTATACTCGTACCTATTGACTTGCCGTGGTCCACACGAAGGCCTTTTTATGCAATGGATGTCTGGTTTTATGAAATACAATCAACTGTCCTCTGAAAAGTGGAGCTTTGAAATATTTTCCAGATCATTTTTACACTGAAAATTTACATTTACATCTACTCTTTCACACTGATTGTCCAAAATGAACTACTGTGTGACAACCTTTGCTTTTGATACATCTTCAAGCGGAAACATTTTTATCATCCATAAAGTTACATATTCTTGGCATTTGCAGGTAGTTGGGAATTAATATACAGCTGTACATTTAAAACCAATATGATCTTTACAACTGAGTGTTATAATGAAGGTAAGAGCATCAAGTTGGAGATACCTCTTGTTGAAAATCGGTGTCAGCTTGTCCGTTCTGTCCAAACCACCAGGAGAATAAGATGAGTACGGTCCAGGGGACAGAGACTTAGGGCTTGAGATTGTGTACTCTCTATAGTTCTGGTTCTCATCTCGACTCACTATGACTGCCTCCTGAAAATAAAAATATATATTATTCTTTTTTATTTATGAGATTTTCTGTCCACTGTAGTCCAATCTACCCTAACAACAGATGTACAAAACAGAGATAAGTATAATAAATGTTTTAAAGGTGAAAGTATTGTAAAATGTTTTTTGGACTTTAGCAATATACAGAAACAAGTACTAAACTTTTATGTACTGCTCTGCTTCCCTCACGAGGAGAGTAAAAAAAAGATGTAATAAACAGATGGCTGCATAGGAAGAACTGAAGCAGATTATCCTGTGCAATCATTACAAAATATTGCAAATAAAGATATTTGAGTGGTGTTTTGTGAAATTTAAATACAAAAGTACATTTGTGGGATATCAGTTTGATTTAAGCTTTAATTTTTTGTTATCAGGAGAAATATGTAAACAAATAAAATATGTTTCAGAACTGACCTGGAAGCGTCCAGTGAGCTGTTCCGGGGTGCTGATGCCGTTGGTCTGTCCGGGGCTGGAAGGTTCAGGTCTTCAAGAGAAGAAAACCTATTTTTAACATTCTCTTCTAACCCAAACATTAATTTTACAGCCACACACCTGGGTTAATATACTATTACTGATGAAAAAATAATAAAAAAAAAAAATGGGTAAGGAAAAAATAAACTCCATGCATGAAACAATTTCAACAAATCTAAATCACATTAAGAACAATTTGATGTACTCAAATTAGGAAAGATGTTTAACTTGCAAGTAAAATGCTGAAGAAGGGGGAAAAAGTACTTTCTCCAAATGTCACAGCTCTAAGTGAACTTCATTTTAAGAACTGGCAATTTAAAGTAAAGAATCTTTTTTTTTAATTTCCTTCGTGAATACTCTGGGCAAGTGTTCATGCTTATGTCGCTTCAGTGATTGTCAAAGATTACTAAAAATGAATTCTGCAGACTCTGTCCCCAGTTAAAATTATTCTTTCATTAACTTGTCTTCCTGGTTTTTCCTTTTCTAAAATAAAAAACAGATTCTGACCACTAATATCATTGAATTAGGGAGGGAAATTCTGGCAGTATAAACGCCAATGCAAACATGGAGTGGCCTCCTGACTGCAGGGCCAGAGGCTGACAGCTTCTTGTTTGACTCCAGGGTAGTGAGGCACAAAGGAAGGCTGAGAGGCCTGTGGTATATCACTGTGAAGGCTCACCTCTAGTGGCTTTACCTCCATGTACTCCATGCAAAGGAAAATAACACAAAGACAACACCTGATACAGCTTCTGTAGGCTCCTCTGTGATCTATTGTATGAAAAAAGATTTGCAGTGGCTTTTCTTCATCATTCTGCTAAGGAAAGAGAGACTCGGTCACTGTCTCTTCACCCAGGCCTACAGAGAGCTTTCTAGCATCACTGTCCGCTTCAGCAACACTACTGAGGCAGAGAGAAAAGCTCTTCAAAAAGTCTTCATCACTGGAGCTGACCTCCCATCCTTGGACATAAACAAAAAGTACAGAATAACCTCAGTCACCCTCCACCCAACTTGCTCTAAGTTCAGGTAAAAACACTGGAAACGGACAGAGTTCTCACACAAACAAAACACGTTTCAATAACAGTTTCTCTCCATCAGCAGTCAGACTGATGGCAACAGACATAACAGAAAAAAACTCGTCTACCCAACTTGAACATGAAATATTTCCACATAAAAAAGACAGCTCTTTTTTAACCATAGTTTCATTTACAGTATGAATATACATTCTTGTTTTCTTAAAGAAAACAAGAAAACAAGAATGCATAACTTAATTTGTTAAAGTGGATTAATTTTTGTACATCATAAAGCTGTATTTCCTTTGTTACTCCATTTAACTCTTTTTAAAATATTAAGAACTCAGCACTAAAAATTCTTTTGTACTTGTGTTGTTGTGCGTTTGTGTGTGAGAGCACGTTTTTGCTACATTGTGGGAACCATTTTCCAGAAAAAGGGAGTATCTTGGAGACCAAATGTGCATCGTGGGGAATAATGCCCGGTCCCCACAGTTATGGATGCTAATTTTGGGTGAGGGGTTTGGTTTAGGACCAAGGTGTGAACTAAGTTTAGGTTAGTTTTAGGGTCAGGTAGATACTTGTGAGGTTAAATTTAAGGTAAACGGTCAGGGTTAGGCTATAAAATTACCAGAAAATTAATTAAGTCAATCCACAGTCCCCATGGGGATATAAAAGCAAACCTGTGTATGTGTGTGTGTTAGGCCAACACAACATAAAAAATTTTTAAAAATGATGTACAATATTAATCACACAATCACTACATCATTTGTGATAAAAACACATTTTCTTCACTTTCATTTAAACCAGGTGCAGGCATCAAGATCAGCGAGTCCATTGAAGAACAGTATTAAAATGTAGAACATGGATGCATGCTGCTTGAAATATAACGACCTGACTTATTGTACTCCAAGTAGATCTCTGCAATACTCATATTGCACTTACTGATATTGTGAGGACAATTAATGAGATCTACTGTATTTCTCAGCCCTAGTAGTAGAAATGACAAATAAAATATCTGAAACTGAATCTACTCTTAATTTCAGCTCAAAATCATCATTTTGACACCTGCCTAAAGTTATCACCTAAAGAAATCCTTAGATTTTAGGAAGGTTTCCATTTTCAAGTTGGATTCTTTTAGGAGCAAATATAAAGCTAAACTAAACTTTGACCAGATTGGCTTTCTGCAGATCACCCCAAATGTTTATACCATGCTAGCACAGTTCTGACATTAACGAGCATTCGGGAGTTACTTTGATGATTGACTTCTCTAGAGAGAGAAACGAAATCAGAGTGTGAGGAAACCCTTTGGTCATTAGATCACCACTTACAAGGCATAAATAAAGTTACACGTTACCAACAAAACCAAACAGAAAATTTAAGGGTTGACAAAGTGCACGTTTGGTTGCTCTGATGTTCAGAAATATACGTCATAAAAGACTGGGACGAGTGTGCTGCTGGATGCACAAGCAGTAAACTCAGACAGTAAAGTGTAAAGCAAGGGTTTATGGCTGAAAGGTTTTTCCAGTTCTTCGGATGAGTTAATGCCAGCTTCTTCCAGTGGGAAACACCATCACATGACATTGACATAACACTGCTGAGCTTTGAACCAAACAGATGCTGAGCTGGAAAACAGCAGCTCAGATAAATCCTTCTAAATTACCATCATCTCAAGAGCTTGTCTGGTCATAATTCAAATGCTTAATGAGCTTGTAAATTTGCATTACGAGAACTCTGAGATGGATCAGAGTTTTGGCTGCTGAAAACCACGGACAGTGAACAGAGTGGGATTAAGAAAAGGGCAGAGCACCACGGGGTTATTGTACTGGCCAGACAAAAAATAAATGGTCTTTTTAGCTTGGTGGGAGACATGAGGTCAGAAGGAAAAAATTCACTCACGTGGACGTAGGACATCCGAGAAGGAAGTACAGGGAAACATGTGCAAGTGTCTGCGTGTGTTTGTTTGCCATGCGAAAGGAACGCTTAGGAAAACAGATTGATGGGAGGGTGGTACAACAGTAGCCACATGGGAATTTAGGGAGGAACTTTAATCAAAATACCAGCCAACGCTGTTTTTAACCAAAGGAAAAAGCTTTTTAGTTGCCAACACCTTGTCATTTGTACAATGTTGTGGCAAATCTCAAAACAAAGTTTATTAGGAGGAACCAGGGAAAGGAAGACTGGGGCTCTCATACATCCTGGCATTTCCCCTGATTACAATCAGCTGATTTGTTTGTACAGTGCTGCTTGATGGAGGTTTAAAAAAGTGTAAAGATTTTGGTCTTGGTACAAACATAATTACAGGCATGGAAGATTTTCAGTGACAGATTACGATGCAGAGAGTTGGAATGGTACAGTGCAACTATCTTATTCTGTACATTATATACACAGGTATTCACAAAATAAACAGGTAAATGTAGAATAAAAACCCTCTGAAAGCAGGTCTGTGTGAAGGCATACCTCTCCACCAGCAGCTGCAGGTTGGTCTTGGAGCTCTTAATTTTGTTCTGGGCCTCTGCGTTCAGCATCTCAGCTGTGTTCTCTCCATTAATCTCCAAGATTAAGTCCCCAGCTTGCAGGTTTGCTTGCTCTGCCTTGCTGCCAGCATTGACCTGTTCAACAGAAGTATCCGGTCCAGTTAGGCCCACAGTCCTAAACACAATCCTTCAGAAATCACATCCATGTACTGTAGACAGGATTATTATGAGAGTGAGCAGTCTGATAACTGATAAAACATTATGTCTCAAGTGTTGACAATTTGTTTACACTTGTCAAACTCTGAACCCAACAGATATTTCAGAGCACAAAGACACACATTCACACAACAAAGCAGTACTGGTCAACAGTGGACAGATTGAAGACACTCTCACAGAGGAATCAGTGTGACATCACTGTGTGGCTCGACAGGCCTTGGCTGTAAAAAAATAAATAAATTTTAAAAAACTGCTTCAAAGCCAATATTTCACCAACACAGAGAGGATTCCAAAGAAACAGGCTGAAAAAAATGAGTACACATACCAAATGAAACTAAATTATTAACCTGTCTGGTGTAACTCCTGCAATCTAAATTCTACACTATTTAAAAAAACAGACATCAGTGTATTTTTGAGTAATAAAACTTTGTCATATTGTATCAATGATGAGACTTGTGTACACAGATTGAGTTAAAAAGCAGCACATTAAGTGTTAAGAATTTAGTGCCAAGACAATGAGGGTTCCTCCGTCATAAGAAGGTGCTTTAGCTACAAGATGACAGATTTCCAACAGGTACCATACTTATTGAATTTGAAGGAAAACTGTTGTCTGTAATAGCCGAGAAACAAACGTTTTATTATTTGGAGTAAGAACACAGTGGAGTTCAAGCAGGTGAAAAATACAAGTTTAAAAAGAGACAAGTTTACTGACCACGTGCTGTCCAAAAACATTTCAATGCTTTTAGATGACACATAGCTACAACAACCATGAGGTGCTTTGAGAAAGACAACCCGAATGTTATGTGAGGTCGAGGTTTTAAGCCCAACCAGAAAGTATTTAAATTTTACAAAAACTTTGTGTTGTGTGTTTTTTTTTTATAATTTGTATTTCAAATCTGATGTCTATTTTAGGTGACAGTATTGTGCAGACCCTAAAATCTGCAAGTTTAAATTGAACTTAACATGAAATTAATTTGTTATAGTTCAACTTTTTTCAAAGGTATTCATGAAAAACACAACTTAAAGACACCTTAGTATGTGAATTTGACTTAGTCTCTATACTTTAGCAGTTTAAAGTTCCAGGGCCTGTGGAGAAATACATTTACACACAAACAACATTCACAGAAAATCATAAAAAATAAGCAAGAAAACATTCCTCTATTTATTTGTAATGATAACTGCCAGACTGCAATCATGTACTTTATTACATTTTATTATTATAAATATGGACAGCATGAATGGTTATCAAAATAAATAAATAAATTGATTGTTAGGTTAATTGGCTATCCTAAATTATACCTAGATGTGAGTGTGTGTACATGGTTGATCAACTCTTTGTGGCCCTATCCAAGGCATACCTCACTGCTCACTCATTCATAGGTATGAATGTTTTTTTAATATCATTAATGAAAATTTTCTTGAGTTACTGTGATATATATTGAGATTATATCAAATCAACCATCATTAAAAACAACAATAAAGGGAATGCAAAAATAAACAAAACTAAAATAAGCAATAAGAGGACTGAACTCCTGTCCGGTTGGAACAAGAAGGATGAAAAGAAAAATGTCAGTCTGCAGGCTGTTTATCAGTGAGTTTATCATGGCAGAGGAGCCATGGCTGTGGGCCCACTTGTGGGGTAAATAAGCGTTGCTTTGGCAACCTACGAGTGTGTGTCTGCTCTGATCGAGTCACGCCTGGTTTCACATAAGCTAATATCAGCTGGAGGTTTTTTTGCCTGAAGGCAAACGGAGGGATCCATCTTTCAAAATAAAAGAGGGCATCCATGTCATTACTGTGCAAACCACAACCATTTCAGATTGAACTCAACATCAGTAATTAAACCGTTGTAAAGATAAAGTTTTGCTTGGAGTTTTTCTATTGACGATATAAATGATTTGTGACAACGTCATTACTAAAAACTATGCCCTGTTTTCAAGTGTAAGTTTTTAGAAGATCCAAACAAAAAATGCTTTTGACATTAAAGAAATCTTGAAACTACAGAAGTTTAAAAGCACTGGGCCTCATGCAAGAACCGTTCGTACGCACAGACTTGTTCTTAAATTGTGTGTACGAGTGATTTAGGAGAATTTGTGGCATTCACCAATATTCTCGTATTGTAAGGTTTTCTTCAGATACGAACAAAGTTCACGTATGGTCCAGACCTGTCGTATATTTTACATGCAGTAAGTCTGCTGTTATCCAGACGGGTTTTTGTTCACTAATAACTTTATATTTAATCAGTTTGAAGATATTTCAAGTTAAAAATAAATTACACTCCATAATTAAGTTGAAAATAGGCTGTTCTGTTTGAATTAGAATTACAATTTTACATGTAATAATGTAGGCTAACGACATAAAATTGTTAAATTAAATTACATTGGCTATTAATGCTGTTGTACAACACTACAATATTAATATG